GAAATCTGCGAAGGGGTCTCGCCCACCAAAGAACTCCCGGAAGACGTCGTGAGCGCTGCGGAAGGTGAAGGTGAATTCAGGGGCCCCAGCATCGGCCCTGGAGCCCCCTGGTCCTGCTGGAAGGAAGAGGCCCAGTGTTAAGCAGAGCCCTGAGTGGGAACCCCCTGAAGGGCAGGGAGCCCCGCAGGAGGCAGACCCACACCAGGTCTTCAGACGGGGCCGTATCCAGAGCTGCAGTAACCCCCCACGGCCCTGCTCACCCACTCACCTGCCCCCATGAGCCCATCCTTGCCGTAACGGTCATAGATATCGCGCTTCTGCTCTGGAAGGAGAGGAAAGGAGGCTGCGGGGAAGCCGGCTGCCAGGCATGGGCAGGACCCCCAATGCTTCCCCCAGACGTGGTGCAGAACAGCAAGGAGCAAGAGGAGGGGGGTGGCATGAGCCTCCGCCACACCAGCACCGCTCCCAAACCTAAGTCGGGGTACTGGGCGAGGATGCACAAGCCTCAGCCCCACTGGGGAGACCTCATCCTGGAGGTCAGCACCTCAGCATCTCTCCAAAGAGCTGTTTTGCAGGACACGTGGGGAGGTAACCAAGCCCCACAAGCCCAGTGGTTAGGGCTGGAGGGACCTGTTGACTCCTGGGGACGTCTAGGGATGCCACCTGGGTGAGCCCAGCAGCAGGACACCCCAGGGTGAGCAGCCCCAAGGGCCGGGGGGACACGTGAGACAGCACTATGGCCTCTTACTGTCCGACAGCACTTCGTATGCCTCGGCGATCTCCTTGAACCTCTGCTCGGCGTACTCCTTGTTGTCTGGGTTTTTATCCGGGTGCCATTTCAGTGCTGCCTTCCTGTACCTGCACAGACGGGCAGCGATGGGCATGCAGCAGCCCTCGGGCAGCGGGGGCTCCTGTGCCAGGGACCCCCCTACGAGCACACGCCTCTGACACTGTGGGCAGGGGCACCCCAAGCCCACTTCATCCAGCACCCTACCGACTCAGGCATCAAATGGGAGCTTCCCAGACTGGTTCACTTCCCCAGCAAATATTTGCAGCATGACCCCAGCAGTGCAGCCTGCGACCACCCCAGCTGCCCTCGGCAGCGACTCTGGACGATGCACACAGGTTTGCTCCAGAGCCTTCCCAGGCTCTGCACTGGGTGTGGAAGGACCAAGGGTCGCTGGGGGATTCCTGGGGCCAGGTGAGCACAAGCAGCCCTTTCCTCCTGCCCACAGCTAGCTGGGGTTGACCCAGGCTGCCCAGCTTCTCTCACCCACTCTTAGGAAGCTCCTCCAGCAGAGACCTCTGTCCCCCCCAGGCAAGCCACCAGTCTGCACCTATTCCCCGGGGGTGAGGCCTCTCCCCAGTGAGAGCAGCAAGACTCAGCGGG